TACTCTTATCTGCTTCTCCAAAGCGGGGATGCACTGACTGCTGCCTACTGTAGGTAATGCACTATGACTATGGGACGAACTACCTCATACAATCCAACTTTAAAAAAAAAAACAGTGCAACAAGAGCTTTAGGATTACATATGGACACAGATGAAGGAATCTGTAGAACTCCTTTTGGTAGCCTTGCTGACTACACTGATGTTTGCTAGCACTAGCACTAGTTTATCTACCCATTGGCTATGTGACACTGTATCTTGCACATCATAGGTGGTCTCTACTTATGGGGTTTTTTTTCACGTAAAGATGTGTCATGATCTCAAAATGGCGCCACAACTGTTCTTTTGAAATAGTAGACTTTCAGATATTATCAGTTTACATTATGTTGCATGTAATGTTTAAGTGCAGGCAGAAAAGAAACCGCAAGAAAAGCCCTGCAATTCCAGGATGCTTCAAAAAAATACAAGCATATAAAAAGCTATTCAATTATTTGGTACATCTACATCCACCCTGACAATCCACTGTGTTCCACTGCAGGGTACAGGGGACAGTAATAGTATTTGACATCAATATCTTTCATATTCATGAGGAGGAAGGGGAATAAACAGTTTGTTTCTGCAGCTTTGATTTCTGAATCACTCTCCCGAAGCTTGTGGAGAGCATTATTAACAGGCAAATGGTGATTTTTCAGTTATTAACTTCTTGCCGTGATTATGTTGTCTAATGAGAGAGGCAGTGCAGACGGCTAAAAGACAGAGGGCTCCGGGGACTGCTTCATGGCAAAATGACTTTTTCATGTCAGAGTGAGTGTTTGGAAGCATTGTCAGCGCAGCCACTGAGCCGTTAAACTGCTGCTTCCTTCTCCTCAGAGGGTCAGCACACGCGTTCCCCAAAGACTTCCCAGACACTCCAGACAGCATCATCACAGCCTGCAAATCCAAGCTCAATACAATGGATTAGACTGCAGGTAGACAATAAAGCCTCTGCATGGGCTGACAGGCAAGATTTAGTGCTCATTGAACAAGAAAGGCATGCTACATTGTCAAGTTCAATTTTTTTAAATTAAAATAATCTTCATATTTCTTTTCAATATTACTTCAAAATATATATTTAAATGTATTCTAAATGCTGTAGTTTGTATAGTGAATAAACCCCTTTTTCACATTTAAATTTTAACTAGATATTGCTGGAGCTAAAACATTTGAGAAAAACAATTTAGATTTTTTTTTTTACCAATATTTAGAAATTTAGAAATTGCTATTTTTTCCTATATTTTAAACTACAGTCCTGTATTTGTGCTCTACATAGCTTTATATAACTAAATCATTATCAAATATATATGGTTGAACTAGCCTACAGCTTGTTGTTGTTGAGTAAACTAAGCGAGTTTTCCAGAATAAAATGTACCAATTTAGCTAACATAATAAAGACTTATGATATTAAAATTCAATTCAAATGTGTCATTGTACTTATTGATAACAACTACAACTAAGTCATGTCTGACGATATTTACACTGACCATTGCTAATGATAGCATCTGTAAACTGTAGCCACTAACAAAGCTAACATGAACGTCTCACGGCCCTGAATCCCGGAGGTTCTGAGATTTTAAGATAAGCTTAAAACGTTAATACGTTGTGCTTAGACGTTACACAGTTCCGACAACTCTGTCCGCCAGCTGTATGTTATTCACTTTCAAAAGCTACCATGCTACAGGGACCTAGATCATTTAGCCCATACCGCAAACAGAGAAAGGCAGGTATGTCTGTCAGACATTATTGTAATAGTTACTTAGTGGCTTTCCTTGACAAAACCCTCTTTGACAGAGCGTATATAATACAGACACATGCAGACAGAACACAGTATAAACCAGACAACCAAGAGTTTATTTGTAGTTATCTTGCTAATTCACACTTTGTTAATTAGCTACAGCTGCATACATTTTCTAGCGACAGTTAGCTAGCGAACATGGGCCACTGGCTAAAACATTCTTTTTTCACAGCTTGCACTGTTAATGATAGAAATTATAATTAAATCTGATAACTGGAGATCCAGATAGTGGTCTCTGGCATCCACAATGTACTTTTCAGGCAACTCGTAGAGATTGCGATATTTAATGTCCTCCTACTTCTTTTCCAAACTTCACATAACCTCACTGACTAGCGGTTCCGTGCAACGTGAACAAATCACCGACATCAATAAAGCTGATCAACATGACAGCTCTCCAAAAGTGACACCAAAACACATCTATCGCCCCCTGGTGGCTGACTGCAGAATAGGTCATAAAGCCCGCTGCCTCCATGTTAGCTGGTTAGTTACTGACATTTTAGATAGTTCTTATCATGCTGATGTGAATGTTCATTTCTCTGATAAGTTTGGTTTTAATTAGTTTAATTTAGTATAATTTGATGCTATAAAAAGGGGGCTTCACATTATGATTGACAGCTGAGCCCTGCACTCAATCGAGTCAGGCATATAGGTGGGTCTACCCTGCAGACTCGAAAGATGGCAGTGGCCGTATCCGAGAAATTTTGGCTTCATTTTTGTCCAGTGGGAGAAAGTGGACATCCATCTTTTATTTGTCAAGGAACAAACCAATAGATTGATGTAGCTAACTAGAACTATGTTGATTGGCTGAATTTCTTCACATGGTTCTTCCTCGCTATATATATTGTGCTATAATTTTTTTGGGCCAGATCATCCACCTCTTCTTGTAGGATGTGAGAAGAACAATACCTATCTCAGATCTATATGTTAGCTTAGCTTAACATAAAGACAGTACAGCTGTGGTATTACAGGGGCTACATGCTGTGATCGTTTCTTGAACAGACACATAAGAATAGAATCCATCCTCTCATCTTAACTTTGCAAGACAGAAAATAAGCATATTCTTATATATTCTCAAAAAAACGATCAGTTGTTCATATGATAATATTTCACACGCAAAGAGACAATCACCAGAGAAAATGCAACTTCATACGATAGATGTTAAAACCAACCCGTGCAGAAATCATGTGCTTTGACTACAATATAATTATTACATGTGACTTTGTGCACGTGATATAAATAAGATGTTTTGAAAATGTTCAAGAAAAATACCAGATAAAGAACCCTTATTCGTGCTGAAGGATAGCCTTCAGTGAAGAATGTGTACCTGTCAAAACAATGTGATTTTAATGCTGGGAAGAAGCCAGGAAGAAAAGGAAAGAATCACTTATTAAAAGAAAAGATGAGAGGGAGACAGGAGATAAACTATTACACAGGGAAAAGAAGACTGTTTTGTCCAAACTCACTGTAAAAAAAGACAAATACTCCTGCTTTAAAACCCATAACACCTCATTACTGCTTCTACAGCTTTTTTTTTCCACAACCGCGTCTCTCACTTGAAGGAATTTGCCTTTTGATCAAAGTTGTATGAAAAACATTAAGAAGCCAAGCCTGTCTCTCATACTCTACAGAGAAGGTGTTTTCATTGGTAAATTAACATCAAGGATGTGCTGTTAAATCCACCTAAGTAACTTCACCCAATGTTTTATCTGCAATATAGACCAAGCTCTATATCCATTAGGTTTATTTATAGCTGACATAATATTAGATCTATTTACTACTACTAAAGCTCTTCTCTAGGAGTGTCTTACTTTCTACTCACATAGGTAGACCTCCTCCTCACTATTTCTAGAAACTTTGATTATGCCAATGGAAATTAGGGCAGAGTGTATGGTTTCAGCCTGGCTTGGAAGAGTTTTGAAGTGCTGTAGTCAAGACCTTTGTTTCCAAGACAAGGACTAGTCGAGACCGAGTCGAGACCAAGTCCAAAGAGGTTCCAGTCAAAGTCAAGTCCAAGTCCAAAAAGGTTCAATTTCAAGACAAGTCAAATAGAGACAGAAAAAATAGCTTTTTCCATTGTCACTGAGGTGAGTTTTGGCAGCCAGGCATGTGATTGCAAGTGACATTGATTGGTTTTGTTTTGGAGGAATATACTTCAGAAAAAACGCTCCACAGGTACACCAGCTGTTTTTCCTGACACACTTTGCAAGGGTGTTTTTTTAAACGCTGACGCCTGTAGCGATGATTCTCTGTATGACCGTGTGGATGTACTTTTCATATTAGGTACGATTGCCCTACTTCTTCACTCCCCCGCCACTCAGCTTTCACATTACTAATGTTAGAAAAGCCCACTATTCACAAGATCCCTCACTGAACTTTTGTGTAAGACCACCTTT